CACACTATGACACCCACAGAAGTCCTAGATAGGAAAATGCCTGTGTCCCACTATCACTTGGCACAAGGTCGTGCCCTCCTCTGCAGATAAGAATGATCCGTTTAAGAAGTAGCTTCGGGTAGGCCACTGCACACTGATCCATGAGACACCAAGTAACTGTGTGACCCAAGCTCTTGTTCATGAGCCAGTGTCAGCTGCTCTCAGTCTATCCTTCCAGGCCTGCTCACCCAGCAACACGGTGTCCAGAGAAGGTGAGATAGCATCAGGAGTGCCACCTTGCCTCTGCTTCGTCCTACCTCTGAGTTCTCACAGTGGATTCTTTCCTTGTGACCAGTTGACAGAGGAAGAAGGAACTCTGGCCTGATACCTGATGGAAGTGGATGGTTGCAGCTCCAAATGAATTCCCTGGCAGGCATTGCAGGAGACAGATGCTTCTAGAAGAGGGAATTCTAAGCAGTACCTCTCGAAGATGGTCCATTTTACCAAGATGGAGACAGAGGTCCAGAAGTATGACCTCATACCCATGCACAGGATTGGTGGTTTGCCTGGATGCTTGGGAAAACGGTAAGAGCAAGACTGGAAGATTGGAAGCAAGTATACCCATGGGGGACGACATGTGGACGGTGCTTTAACAATGAGCACAGGATAGAGGATGATCTGGTCCAGCAGAGGAGAACACTGCCCGTGACTGTTGGACATGATGCTCTGTTTTGGAGATGTCAGGCATTTTCTTTCCCTAGTCACCCCTGTGCCCAGTCAATTGCTCATCCACAGACTGTCCATGGTGCTGAGCTATGGGTTGCAAATGGATTTAACATGGCCTTTCTCCCATCAAAACTGATTTAAAGTTTCTGCTAGGGCCCCATTCACCACAGAAACTTGCCCAGATGGCAGACCAACTAAATTGAGTGTCTCCATCATGGAGGGAACAGTGCTTTTAGGTACTTATTCTCCAGGTGGGCTTGTCTTCCCTAACCATTGCAGGCATGGGCTCATGAATGCCCTCTTTCCAGGCTTGCTTTTCACTAAAGATCTGAGGATGCAGCAGAAGAAATGTGGCTGTGGTTAGACCCGCACCATCGTGGGCTCTCTTAGTCGGAAGCTGGAGTTACAGGACACTGAAGTGGACCGCTGAAGGCTGTGTTCCGGGGGGCTGGTGGACCCCAGAGCTAGAGTTCTGAGCTACAGGATGCAGCCCCTGCAGTGGGACAGCGGGAAACCCCGAGTCCAGCAGTGCTGAGGCAGAGGTGGAAGTCTTTACCCCCATGACGACTTGGATCCATGTAACATGAAAAGGCCGGGCCTGCTTGTTCGGATTTCTGTCCTGCCCAGCCCCCCAGCTGCTTAGCCCCAAAGAAAATGACACAGAGGACTCTGTAAGTTATAATGCTGATTGGCCCATTAGGTCAGACTTCTTACTGGCTAACTCTCATGTCTTGATTAACCCATTTTTCTGATCTATGTTAGCCATGTGGCTCAGTACCTTTTTCAGTGGGGCAGCTCACATCCTGCTGCTTCGGTGATCTGGGCAGGAGTGGGAGGAATCAACTTCCTCCTCCCCAGAATTCTCCTGCTCTCTTTAGATCATTTCCACTTCCTGTCTGGTTTTCCTGCCTACACCTCCTGCCTGACCAATCAGCGTTTATTTAAAACATGATTGACAGAATACAGACAATTCTCCCGCACCATATCCAAGTCACAAAATGGTAGTTTCCTGTGGTCGTTCCTCTTCATTATCTGTTTGACTGGATTTAGAATCACCTAGGAGATACACCTCTGGGCCTGTCTGTGATGGCGTTTCCAGAAGGAGAGAAGACCCACCCTGAGTGCGTGTGAGTGGAACCATGTCATGACTGAGGACCTGGACTGACTTAAAAAGAGAAGAAAGGAAGCCAGCTGAGCACCAACATCTTCTCTCTCTCTCTCTCTCTCTCTCTCTCTCTCTCTCTCTCTCTCTCGACAGTCCAAGTAGCTGCCTCATGTTCCTGCTGCCATGCATTTGTTCCATAACAGGTCTTGAACCATAAGCCAAAAATGAACCCTTCTTTAAGTTGATTTCTGGGTAATTTATTATAGCAATAAGGAAAATCAGCTCACTTCCCAGCCTGAAACTTTGGACTTTGATTATTTGAAAAAAAAATTATTTTATATTTATGAGCATTTTGTCTCAAGGAGGTCATAAAAAGGCGTCTGACCCCTGGAACTGGAATTACAGGTGGCTGTGAGTAGACATGTGGGTGCTGGGAATCCAACTCAGGTCCTCTGGAAAAGCAACCATTTAACTGCTGAGTCATCTCTCCAGTCCCATGGACTTCGACGGCTTAGAGATTATGGTTCCAAGTGGAAGTATATCAATGGTACCATTGAATTAAACATTCAGAGTGGCCATTTTGGGCTTATACCATTGGCACTATATGCAAAAACACGGTCTACTTTCCTGGCTGGGCATATTGGTCCTGACTGGCTACAGGCACACTGGGTTGCTGCTCCACCATGGTGGCACAGTAGATAATGTATGGGAAAGGGACTCCTTCCATATCCAACTGTAAAAGATCAGCAGAAAACATAGCCACCTAAGGACTGCTTTACACTGGGGTATAAAGTCATTTGCCAAATAAGCCACCCCCATTGACTGAAGCACTGTTGGAAGCAGTGAACCTATAGGCAGTGGGAAAGAGAGAAGTCATAAAGACCAATGGTGGCCTATGGGTTGTTTCAGAAATTGACATGAGGGTTTTCTCCCATGCATGCATGTGTGAGTGCGTGAGTGTGTGTGCGTGTGTGTTGCAGGCTGACTTGGAGGCTGGCAATAGTGACATCTCATTTGTATACTGCACTATGTGAAGGACTGTGAATGCTGGAACTGTAGGAGGCTTGAGTGGCATCCAGCCTCCTGCCTCCTCCAGAGATCTGACTGATGGAAGGGCTCCGAGAGTCTCATTTCAGAGAGAGGAGGAGCATGTCCTCTTTCGTCATGCATTTAGTCCACTGGGACCCTTATGGTATTGTTCATGAGTAGAACTTTTGTAGACTGAGAAGGGTCTTCATGGTTGTCTAGCTAGACCAGTAGGGTAGACAGCACCAGACAGTTTCTGCATCTACAAAGTCTACCCTTGCCCTGTCTTGACCATGGCTATTGGTATGTATATGAATGTTTTGCATACTTAGTGCCCACAGTGGTCAGAAGAGGATGTCCAGTCCCTGCAGGTGGAATATAGATTAGTTGTGAGCCACAATGTGGGTGCTGGGAATTGAACCTGGGTCCTCTATAAGAAGGACAAGTATTCTACACTTTAAGTCATCGCTCCAGATTTTTTGAGACAAGGTCTCAGAAAGCCCAGGTTGGCCTTAGATTCAGCACCGGAGTGACAGTGACCTTGAACTTGATCCTCCTGTCTGCACATCCCAAGTGCTACACTATAGGTGTGCATTACCAGGCCCAGTTTATGTAGTGCTGGGGAATCAAAGCCAGGGCAGCTTCATGTGTGCTACGTAATCACTTTGCCAATAGAGCCACATCCCCAGCCCTATATTTTTTCTTGCAACCTTTCTGAAAACATACAAATTCTTATACTTTTTTTCTTATTTTGCAAAATCAATCAAACTATGCTCTCTCTGAAACAAGTTATACCTCTCCGTCTGAGCATTTTAATATGTTTCTTCTTCTTGGAAATTACGGGGGAGCAGGTGTCCTGTCCAACCCCTAAGAGGACTGTAAACAGATAGATGCGAAAAGACTATAAACTGTAAAGTTCTGTGCCTGAATGGAGTAGACTTAAGACCATGTCAGCAGCTTTTGACCATATGTGAGGCTGTGCTCTGTCCTTCCTCATCATCACAGCTGCTGGGATAACAGGCAATTGCCACCTTCCCAAGCTATCTTGTTCTCCCCAAGAGTTGGATCCAAAACATCGCACCTTCACCCCCATTCTGACTTTGGAAACGAGAGTTGGGTAGATCACACGCTTTAGAAACGAAAAGCAACTGCTCCTCCTGGATGCTTTATTGAGGGCTCTAAGCATGAGTGGCAGTGACACCCAGACCCTTTCCCAACATGCAAAAGGCACAGGAAAGTGAGACCCGGGGAGGGGCAGTGTGAAGGAGAGACCCCACTGCATGCAGTATGGGGAGTCTCCGGAAAAAATGGAAAGGCGGAGGTGGTGAGGGATGCACCCCCATTCATGAGCTGAGACCGACCTTCAGAGGTGAGGTATGCATCCCTACTCCTGAGCTGAGACCGACCTTCGGAGGGAAGGCCAACATGGCTTTTGCTGAAAAGTCCCACCTTGAAGGGTGAGAACTCAGCTCAAGGGAGGAGTGGCTGATGGCTGCTGCCTTGGGGCGGGGGGGATTTCTACTTAAGTGCCAAATCGCACCAGGTGACCAATGAGGGAGTGGGTGAAGGGTGTGCCCATGGAGTTAGTTGGTCCCAGCCATGGAGGGGTTTTGGGGTGCCACTGCTTGGCTTGAGCCAGTGCTGTCTCACTGAGTCCTTGTCCAGGAGAAGAACGAGACCCCTTTTGATCTTCAGAGACCTCCCATAGGGACTCTGGCTCTCCAGTCCCAGACAGAGGTACTGGTTAGATGAGTTGAATCTCGATGTTGGCTTTGTCCTATAGAAGAGGTCCCTGCCAAGAGGGAAGGGGAGGCTGGGGTCAGGCTCTCTGAGTCCCCAGCACCTCCCAGAACCTGGGCCCTGCTGGGTAGAACATCCTGGGACTCACCTCAGATCCTAACCAGTCCCCACAGAAATGTCTTGAGACCTTGAATCAGAAGCAAAGGCATTTGGGTTTCTTTTCTCTCGTTTTCTCTCTCTCTTCTCTGGTAGAGCCGCAGCCTCAAATCACAGCGTTGGCAATGTCTATTTCTAAACTATGAAATGTTGTCACACTGACAATACAATGACTAGAAAGAAGGGGCAGGGCGTTCTGTCCAGTGCTCATGGGACAGTGAATTATTGAGAGGGAGTTGGGAAGCACACAGCACAGAGACACCGCCAGTCACACACCAGGCCCCAGCCCAGCTCTAGATATATTTTTTCTTGAGGTACCAGTAGGCAAAGTAGCCCATCCCACCCAAGGAGCCCATCAGGAAGGATGCCCCAAAGAAGGACGGCGGCTTCCGCTTAACCAGTCGGAATGCATTGGGGATAACAGCCGAGAGCAGTGTGGTGTGGATGTCGCCCAGGACTTTTCGGAAGGCGAAGCGTCTCTGGACCCTCTCAAAGAAAGACTGAAGGTTGGGCCGGCTGCCGTCTTCCCAGTATTTCTTGGACAGTCCCAGGAACTTGAGGCGGTGCAGGGTAGCTCCCAGGAGGACGTCCGCCAGGGTGAAGGCACAGCCACAGAGCCAGAGCTCGCATTTCTGCCCTGGAAAGGGAGAGGACACCTGGCACTCAAGCCCTGGCTCTGATCTGCCTGCCGGTGTCTCCAGAGGCCATTCCTTCCCGAACTCGTCAGCAGTTGCTGCCATAGCCTTCCCTTGCTGCCCTCACTCTTTAAGTCAACCGACTTGTGAATTGCAAAGATCTACCTTATTTTCCTTCCTTTCTTTTTCTTTCTTCTTTTCCTTCCTTCCTTCCCCCCTCTTTCTTTCTTTCTTTCTTTCTTTCTTTCTTTCTTTCTTTCTTTCTTTCTTTCTTTCTCTCTTTCTTTCTTTCTTTCTTTCTTTCTATAGGTTTCATGTAGCCCAGGCTGGCCTCTAATTCACTAGGTAATGAAGATAACCTTGAACTTATCCTTCTGTCCTCACCCGAGTGTTAGGATTTATAGACTTATACCACCATACCAAGTTTGTGCAATGCTGAGGGGTGGGCATGGGGAAAGGGTGGGAGCAAAACCTAGAATTTTGTGCAAGCTAGGCAAGCTTTCTACCAACTAAATGTCATTCCCCAGCCCTTTCTTTTCCTTTTTCTCTTTCTTTTTCTTTTGATTTTGGAGACAGGATCAATAGCCTCAACCTCCAGAGTGCTGGGATTACAGGCTGCAGTACCCCAAACTGTAGATTCACATACCTAGCTGTTGGCTGATAGCTCCACCTAGTGTCCCTCCACATTCCAAAGTAAACATGTCCAACAGGGAATTCTGGATTGTTGCTCCCAAGCCCACCACACACGCCCCAGTGCCAGAGTGGCTTTCCATCCTTCTATTAGGTACTAGAACCTTGGTGCTGCCACAAACACTCTCTTCCATTGCCCCCAGTCAGTGCACCAGTATGTCTTATTAGCTTGATCTTTAGAATACATCCAGACTTCAGTGTCTGCTTCCACTATCCCAGCCTGAATAGCCTCTCTCTCCTACCCACATCTTCATAGTGTTTTAAATAGTTTCCCTTGCTTGGAGTCTACCGTCAGCACAGCAGCCAGAGGGATGCTATTGTGATCTAAGTGGGATCCTGTCAAAACTGATGCCTGGTGGCCAGAGCAGAGCTCTGTGGTACTACCTGTGATGTCTGCCCCACCCCCTTCCTTCTAGGTCTCAGGTTCTGCTTCCCCCTTGACTCTTTACCCACCAAACTGGTCTCCTTGCAGATGCTCATGTCAAACCTGCTCTCACCTCAGGCCTATGCCTTGGCTGTCTCCTCTGCCTGGGGTAGAAGTGATTGGCTCAACTTATCACATCCACAGGCCTCTGCTGTCTTTTCAGGGGGCTTCATAGACTGTCAATTTAAAACTCAAGGGCTGGGGGCTGGAGAAATGGCCCAGTAGTTAAAAGCACTGGATGCTTTTGCAGAGGACCTAGCACCCACACGGCAGTTTATACCTGTCTGTTACTCTAGTTCTAGGGGATCTGATACCAGAACACAGATATACATGCAGGCAAAACCCCAATGTACATTTTAAAAATACCCTAAAGGGCTGGCTCAATTAATAGCAGGCACTAGGCCCTGGGTTTGAGCACCTGCCCTGAATAAAATGGACATGGTAGAATGGGTCTGTAATCCCAGCATCTGAGTGATGGAAACAGGAGCATCAGAAGTTTGAGGTCATTCTCTGCTGCAAAGTGAGTTCAGAATGAACCTGGGATACTGGTTAATGGGGCAGAGTGGTGTGGAGGGAACACCAGGTTAGGTGGGGGTAAAGCTGGTATGTCAGGATCAGAGACCTGCTCTGTACAAGGGGGAGCCCTAAGACAGCCCCTGCAGGGCCAGGTGAGACTGTGGGTGCTGACAGCCACTACAGCACGCTTTCCACACACAGGAGCAACACATGTCACGTGCTGCCCACCCTGAGTACTCTGAATGTCTCTCATGTCACGGGGTCCCAATAAATCTGCCATACTCCCCACTCTATATATGGGAGACAGAGGTCCTGGTGCAGGGAGGGACTATAACCTCAGCCCTATAACCTAGGTCGGCCTGACTCACCAGCTCCTGACCCTAACCAACTGGGAGGGCTCTAGGATCTCCAGGAGAAAGAGGCTGGAGGATGGCAGAGTGGGCAGGGGAAGCAGGCAGGCGGAGCCCTTTACCCCTGATATGATACTCACCCTCATTCTCGAGTTTCCGCTTTTCCAGCTCTGCCTCAATCTGGTCAAGCACCATAGCCAGCTCTCCAAGGATCTTCTTCAGGTAGCTCACATCATCGTGTTCCAGGATCTTGGCCTAAAGGCCGAACAGGCATCTGCTCAAGCATGAGCTGGTCTCATGGGAGCCATGACACCCAGAGGTGGAGGAGGATTGTCTAACCTGCCTTCAAATACCCACTCTAGTGTATAGCATGGCCCACCACTACAGTGCACCCTCTTCCAGGACTGAGCCATTCCAGTGAGCTTGGCCACCTTGCTCACGTTCCCTGGCACGGGGCTGGAGCAATGCTACCACTGTTGTGTGCTAGGAGTACCAACGCTCTTTTCCCAGAGAATGGCTCTCTGCCAATGAGGAGCTATCTTGCTTAGAAGCACATGGAAGATGATCCCCATCCCACCAGGCCGTCTATAGCCAACGGCTGCTGATGAGAGGGTACTAAAGCATGGCCAGCTATATGGTGCCTTTTACATCCCAGTGCTCTCTGTGGGGACAGCTGAGGCTCAGCCCCACCCTCTTCCCTACCTCTCCCACGTCTTTGGAGTACTCTTCCCATACGGTCTGATACAAGAACCTGTGTTCAGGGCTCTGCTTTCAGAGACAACATAACCCAGAGGCTCGGAGTGGGGGTGGGGGAACAGTGGCTTTCCATGGCCAAACCGTCACGATATGGTAGACGAAACATGATTGGAGGATCAAAACAGTACCCTTTCCAGGTCAAAGCATCTACTGATCCTCCATTTAGAACCTTCTTCTAGTAGGAGGGAGGGGACATAGGCAGGGCACTCACCATAAGCTTCTTCTGCTTGGAAAGGTAGGGCTCAGAGAGCTGTGGTTCCTCCTCATGGTCCAGTTTCATGAGGTCTGTGGTGGCATTGGCTAAATGTCCTGGAACAGAACAGAAAAGGTCCTGTCTCCCTGCTTCCCGGGGCCTCTCCTTCCCACATGACCAGGAGAGGGCCACCTCCCTGGGGTACAAGGGGCCAATAAACCTTGCTGTAGAGGATACTGTAGCTTTGAGGAAGAAGGGGAGGAGGAAGAGAAGGAGGAAGATGAGGAGGAGGAAGAGAAAGAGGGGAGCACAAGCAGGAGAAGCAGGAGAAGGAAGAAGAGGAAGAGGAGGAGGTGATGCTGGAGATGTGTAGAACTTGAAACCCAGAGTTGTTCACCTTCCCAGAATTCCCTCCCCTCCAAAAAGCCAACCCTGCCTGAAGGTGTCCTCAGAGGTCCTCTCCTCAAATCAGATCCTGTAGGCTTTTTCTACAGCACCCTCACATTTACACGCCTTGTTCAGACGGCCACATTTACACGCCTCGTTCAGCCCTTCATCTCTCAGCGGACACCTTGTAGTCTCTTATTTGAGTGAGTTTCACAGAGTTTCCTATGTAGCCCTTGCTGACCTAGAACTTGCTGTATAGACCAGGCTGGCCTCAAGCCTGTGGTGATCCTCCTGCCTCTGTCTCCTAAGCGCTGGGCTAGAGGTTTGCATCACCCCACCCTTCTCGCTGTCACCCCACCTCTTCCCAAGGGCTTCTGTGCACACACTCCTGCCCCTGCCCCTGTCTACAGCTCATCCTGGGCCCCTCCAGGTAATGTCTCAGCTCTCAGCTTGCCTCCAGGAACCCTGGGGTCCAGCTCTCTCTCAGTTGTTCTATCTCTCATTGAGCTGCCCCCATAACCCTGTCCCCGCAGGGTACATCTCAGTCACTCAGATCACTTCCTATGCATCAGGCCACTCCAAACCTCTTAGCCCACATCTCATTTCCTGGAATAACCATGTCCTCTATTCTCTTTCTTTTCCTATAATTTATTTATTTTGATTTTTATGTATATGGGTGTTTCACCTGAATGTGTCTGTACACATGTGTAATACTCTAAGAGCCCTGAAGAGGGTGTCAGAGCCCCTGGAATTGGAGTTACCATTTCAGTTGCCATGTGAGTCCCTTGCAAAAGCAACCTGTGCTCTTACCTGTTGAGCCATCTCTCCAACCCCCAAACCCTCTAGTTTTGAAAGCCTCTTTCCTGATCTAGCTGACCTATGAATCTATGACCTATGATGAAGCGCCCCCTTGTCATCCAGGTCCGACCTCAGAGCCTTTGTTCCAGCATAGGCTCTGGCAGACTTCCGCCAGGAGATGCAAACCTACCAACTGGGGTTGCCACAGCACAGCCCTGCTTATCTACGGCCTCCATGAAAAGCATCCCTCGCACAGCGCAGTGCACAAGTCGAATTGTTTGCCAGGTGTGGTAATTTGATGATGGCGCGCTCATCTACCTCAGGGCCTCGGAGCTCAGGCTCAGCTGTGGCTAGATGAGACTCACCTCTGTTCTCTGAAAGCCCAGCACAGGCCTGGTCCTGAGCAGGGCTCACTGAGTGTTGAAGAAAGGACGGGGTGGTCAAGGGTGTGAGAAGCTGCAGCCGTCAGGTGTCTGTCCTCTGAGGTTGCCTACCTCCTACCATGGACCTGATGCAGTCCCAGTAAACACTGCGAGTTCTTCTAGCTCTAGGCTTTATTAACGCTCCCCAATGCTTTCTGAATGTGAAGGTCAAGCCAGTCTCTCTCTCCGTGGCTGCCCTTGGGCCTGTCTTTAGACTACGGGGAAGACTTTGGAACACATCCGCAGCCACTGCAGACTGACTTTGCTCCTCTGTCCTCCTTGAGGTTTCCCTTTCCCCCCTCCCTGTGGGATCCCAGTGCTTCCTCAAAAGGGTGAAAACTGGGCCCACTCTGAACCCTGCTGCCTTCCAGGTCCCATGAGATGGCTGAGGACAAGATGAGGGCAGTGCCCACAGTTCACCTGGCCACTCGTTTGAAGGATCGCCGAGGCTTCACACCGCCTCTCTCAGGACTCCGTCTCTGGGAAGTGCAGAGCTGCTCATGTCAAGGCCCACAGCTGTTTCTCTGTAAAGTGAGCCCCTCCTCCAAGCCTGCTCATCAGAGTCACAGGAGACCCTGCCCTGCCCCATGCTCCAGCCGGCCCTGCCCACCACCCTGCCTTTGGCTCTCCACGTGCTGCACCTGTCCTACCCACACCCTGACAGGATCTTCCCCCTTGGATGTCGCCACAATTCCAGGTCCTAGGACTAACATCTTCTGTGACCCTGGGACCTCTGTGTTGTCCTGATCCTGATACTGGAAGCATATTTAAATTGTTTTTAATTAATTGATTTGTGTGCAGGTTATACAGACAGGTTGTAAACTCAAGCAAGGGTAGAAGATGTGCAATCAATGTAAACCTCTAGTCAGGTGTGGCGATGAGCATGCCTGTAATCCAAGCTCTTGGAGGTAGGAGGGTCAGAAGTTCAAGGTCATCCTCAGCTATGTCGTGAGTTTGCGATCAGATTGGGCTATATGAGACTGTCTCAAAAACTCCCAAACAAAACCAATCCATAATTACTTCTCTATCTTCAGACTCTCGGCTCTGCTCCCTGGAGACCAGCACTACTGCAGAAACATTCCTTGCACCAAGAGCCCAGGGGCATTCTTTAGAACTTACTAGAGCAGATGGCACGCTATGTGTTTGGTCCTCTCCCCTTTCTGTCACTCATTAGCATATTTTTTAGAACATTCCATGTGCCTATTATTTTTCAGTATAACAGCATCATGATGAATTTACTCCACCTCCAATTTGTAGACATCAAGGTTGTTTCCAATGATGGCTCTCACTACGCTGTGGTGAGAAATTTGTATCCACTTCTTGGTGTTCAAGTGGTGCCTTGGGGTAATCCTCAAGGCATGAACATCTTTGGCATTTGGTACCGAGTGCCCTCACCCCCACCCATCGCTGGCTGTCCAAGTCTCCCCAGCTTGCACTGTCACTACCTGACCTTGTCTCTGCTCCCAGAAACTGTCACCCTGAGGTGGCAGAGGCTGTGTTTATCTTTGTCTGTTGGCATCATCACCGGGACCCCACTGGAACTGCTGACTGAATCGGGGAGCAACAGCATAGAGATGACTCCTGAGTCTCCCTCAAGGGCTGAGTTCCACAACCTGACCCTTCCCCACCTTTGCACAACGGTGGGACAGAGGATGGGAAGGGAAAGGAAGTGACCACTTACTGAGCATCTAGGATCTACTAGAAACGGTCATGACTTCTCTGCCTTCAGGGCCACCAATCGCTCTAGCAGAGTCTAGCTAATCCCTATGAATAGACTATTGATGGGTCATCTGACTGGATCTAATTCCGTTCATTGATTATGGGTAGGCTGGCAGTTAGGAGAGTACATGGATGACCTTGGATCAGAAAACAGAGACCTACTGGGTGTCTTGCCATGCCTGGTCGGCCTTCTGTGGGAACCTTAACCCTAATGTCACTCAGAGTTCTTGGCTATCCATGTGGGGCCCTTTCCCTTGACCTCAGGTGTCCACAGCTGGGACTTCCCAGGTCTCCCAGGCCTGAGAGAAGAGCCACTGGTGGGACACCTGTGCAGTTATCTGAATGGGTGGCAGGCAGGAGTGGGGGTGCACAGGGAGGAAAGACAAGAGGGAGAGAGGGAGGGAGGGGAAGGATGACTAGCGAGACCCAGGGGTGGAAGCATGAGGTGAGGAGGGAGGACCTTCCTTAAGGAAAGAAGCAGAGGAAGGAGAATGGAGGGCCCGGTTGGGCAGACTCACTGCGGATCTCAGCCGTGGCATACTTGGGGATCATGGAATCCGTGGTGAGTTCCGGATGCAGGATGCAGCCGTGGGTGTAGGCGTCCATGGGCAGTGCATCCAGCAGCTCCCGGTACTGTAGCACTCGGGCGTGTTGCGGGCTTCCTACCTCGGGCATCAAAGCCACCACATGCTCTGTGGATACCACCAAGGGCTGGAGCAAGGTCCTCATAGGAACCCGGAGCCCCAAGTGTCATACTCGGAAGTCCCTGACCTACCCTCTGGGACTTGGCCACTGGCTGTGAGGAATTCTGATGACCCAGTTGCTACTCTGGGCTTCACTAGGCTGTCCCTCATGGGTCCAGCACTTCCCGGTGTCAGATAGTAGCCGGGTAGAGGATTGTGTCCAAATGCTGCGTGCTTTCCATGGGCTGAAAAGCTGGACGCTTAGAACTTAAACCTCCTCAACTTGGCAAATATTATTCACATTTATGCTTCTTTTTTGAGATGGACTCTCAGTATGTATCCCAGACGATTCTCTAACTGGAGAGTCTCATGCCTCCGCCTCCCAAGTGCTGGGAGTACAGGGCATACACATGTGCCACCATGCCCAGAAATTTTTTATTCTGTTTTTAAAAGAAGTTGTTTTGAAGTTGGGTCTTATGGTACACACCTTTAATCCCAGCACCTGGGAGGCAGAGGCAGGGAGATCTCTGTGAGTTCCAGGCCAGCCTGGTCTGCATAGTGAGTTCTAGGCCAGATAGAGCTACATAGTGAGACCCCCATCTCAAAAAAATAAAATCTTGTTTTGAGTTGAGATGGGTCTCATGTAGTCCAGTGTTGCCTCCAACTCAGCTATGTAACTGAGCCTGGCCTTGAACTTCTGGTTCTCCAACTTTCGCCTACACCTCCTAAGTGCTTAAATTACAGGCATGCGCTACCATGTCCTACATGCAAATTCTTATTCTTAAAAATAGTACAAGCCTGGGCTCTGAGCTCACTGTCCCAGCTGCCTGAACCTCTGCCTGTGATTTCTTGGGGGAACGCTGAGTCCTGCCCATGACTCAGTGGCTTGCTTAGGTTCAAAGATGGTGTCTGAGACCAAAGGATCGCTGTGGTACACCCTGTCCACACCTATGGGACACAGCATACCTCCTGTGAAGGTGCGTTCCACGTAGTCAATGATCTGGTCGTAGTCACTGATGATGTTGTCCCGGTGGATAATGACCGGCACCTCCTCACCCAGGTTGAGCCGCATGAACCAGGGCTCCTTATGCTCGCTCTGGGGCAGGCTGACATCCCTCTCTTCGCAGGCCAGGCCCTTCTCGGCGATCACCAGCCGCACCTGCAGGCGCCAGGGTCAGAGCGGGGGGAAGGCGGGTGGACACAGGGGACACTCTGCCCGGGTGGGGGAGGCGTGCAGGAAAGGAGGTCAGAGGTCACACACAAGAGGGGACACTTGCTTGCAGCCCATTCTTGGGCACTTGGGCAGGGGGCTGTGGCTCAGGGTCACATGCTTGGAGGTTGGAGAGAAATGCAGCCCTAGGCTGATACACAGGGCCGTGCTGCCTGGCGGCCGTGGGGCTATCCTGTCGGGCTGGAGTTCCGGCTGTGCAGATGTGGGCAGACTGCCTAAGCCCCTAGGGCCAAATGAAAGTATTAATAGTTCCAAGTTTGTGTCTAGCACACAGATGGTGCTCAATTCATGTTTATTGTTGCCGTGATGCAGACACTCGGGGTAGATCTGGCCAGGAACTTCACAGAAATTCCAAGTGCCATTATAACCAAGAGCTAAATGTCTCAGTTGGTCGGAGGAACAAAGCGAGGTAGAAGAAAATGTGCCCACATCCACACCATCAGACACTGTCCCGTCTCCATTGCCTGATGGCACGTTGGCAACAATAACCAGAAAAGGGCAGAACAAGGGGGCAGCTACAGTCACAGGAGGGTCAACATCGTGACCCATGTCACACAGTCACTTAATGGCCAGCTTACAAATTGGATGTAATGGCTCTGGACCAGGGCCCTCTTTCTGAAGACTTCCTCTAGGGAGTTGATGGGGCTAACCTATCTTGAATCTTCCCTTATGTCTCTAGGAGGCCAATGTGGCTGGGTACACTCCTGGCCCAGGCTGTGCCCGGGAACTGGAAGATGCCTAAAGCTCTTGTAGCCCAGGTGCCCTCACATGTGGGGTGAGATTCAGGAAGGAGGATGGTCTTGTCCTAGATCGCTGGAAAGGGGATGGTGGCAATCCACTCCTGCCCTCCCGTCTTTTGGTTCCAGTCCAGGGCCAGGAGGCCAACCCCAAAAGAGGCAGAGGCCATTCATCTCCACCCCACCAGAGACGATAAGTCCTGGGCCGAGTACCCCCACCCCTCCGAGCCTCCAGGTATTAGAAGAGTGGCCTAGGGGCAGAATCACGGACTCGCTGTGTCTGTTTCTACCCAGAAGGAGGCTTTAAATGCACCCTGACTCCTGGGAGTCTCCTGCTGTAGGGAGTCCTACTGTGTTCCCTCAGAGGGCTGTGGGAGGAGTGAGGGTTCCATCCTGTCTGATGCTCTAGTACACTGTAGAGGATGTGTCTTAGCTACTGGGATTAGGCCAGGTATTCTGGCTTCCGTTTGTCAACTGGACAGAAACTCGAGTCATTTGGGAAGGGGAACTCTCAATAGAGAATCCAAGAAAATGCCTCCATAAGAACCGGCTGTAGGCAAGTCTGTAGCGCACTTTCTTGATTTTGATTGGGTGGAGGGGGACCCACATCCCTGTGATACCCTGGCCAGGTGATCTGGGTGGTATAAGAAAGCAGGTCGAGCAAATCATAGGGAACAAGCCAGTAAGCAGCTCCCCTCTATGGTCTCTGCTCCAGTCCTTGCCTCCAAGGTGTCTCCTTGCTTGTATTCCTGCCCTGACTTCCGTCAGTGATGGACTGGATGTTACCTGAGAGCTGTAAAGCTGAAATAAACCCTGCCCTCCCAGTTGCTTTTGGTCAATTCTGTTTTCATCACAGCAACAGAAAACGAGGACACCAGGTTTGGGAGACAGAGAGACTTGGGACTGAAGCCTCGCCCTATTGGATGCTTGTGGGATTTGACCACTCTGATCTCTGTGTAGCCCTGGCTGTCCTGGAACTCACTCTATAGTCCGGGCTGGCCTTGAACTCATGGAGATCTGAATGCTTCTACTTCCTTGGGATTAAAGGTGTGCGCCACCACCATCCAGCTGATGACTCTGCTCTCTGATAGCATATAGTTTGGTAAGGGTATAGTCTGTAAGGTGTGGACAGAATCCTAGCACAGTCAATTCGTGGTCCTAATATGGACACATCCACATATATGCGTGCGCACACACACTGCAGCCCCACTTGGTACCCTGGAGCCCTTCATGGCCCACACTCACAGCTAATGTGGGTACCCTTCCTTCTGTCTGGTGGCTATGCATAGAGAGAGGTGATTCACCCTGAAACTTTCACCACACCTTCATTTACTCCATTGGCCCAAAGCTACTTCTATAAGGAGAGGCTGCCTTCTAGAATTGGGTTAGAAATAGGGACCCAGTTCATCTTCCTGGCTCAGCTGGGTGGCCTCAGCTGTCACTGACCCTTTCTGGGCTCCCTTTCCCCCTTCTTCTTTCCCTCCCTCCCACCACCTCCCTCTGAAGTAATGGGAGGGGTTTCAGGTTTTCAGGTTCTGTAGGAGGAACCATTGCAGAACGAACAGCCTGGGGCAGCATCTGTTTGCTCAAGGCGTGTGGGTGTAAAAGTATGAGTGGGCAGCTGTGTGTGCATGTGTATAGTGTGCTTATGTGAGTGGTGAGGAAGTGTG